GGGAATATGCACAAGTTCTTTCCTCTTGGCAAGAAAAAAACAAAGAACCAAAGAGAACCACAAAGATGATTACAGATTTAGAATGCTGAATTTTCAAAGAGCCAATAAAGGAATTGAAATTACTAATTATGAAGTTAAAAACATGCAGAATGTCCTTCCAGTTTATGAATGGGCTCATTCATGGGAGACAACAAACCATCTGGTCTCCACACTTGGTGAAGTAGAACAAGAAAGTAGATGTAACACAACATGCAGAATTACAAGGCTGGTAAGCGTGAAAAGTCATCATAACTTTTGAACAGTATACATGGCACGCAGTTTACCAGATCAAGAATCACAGGACCTTTGTTCTAGTGTCATCTGCAATAAATTAAACCAGTGTGACTTCAGACAACTCACATGATTTCTCTGGACTCAGTTTCCTCATCCATACAATGAGCATATTGGGTTAGCCAAAAAGTCCATTACGTTTTTTCCATAAAATAAAAGACACATTTTCTGTTTTCACCAGTAACTTTATTGATTTGGATATTTTGAGTATGTCGGCTGTCTCCCACTATTGGCTTCTAGTGGGTAGAGGACAGGGCTGCTGCTGAACATCTTCCAATGCATAAGACAGCCCCACAGCAAAGAATTATTTGGCCAAAATGTCAACAGAACCAAGAAATTTTGCAAACCACTTTTGATATGTTCCATCAGTCACAGCACCTTCTCCATACACTGCACAAATCTTTTATTCCATTTCAGTTGCATTTTTACCTTTCTTGAAATAATAAAGCATAATATACCAGACATGTTGCATATTTGTTTCCATCTTCAATATAAAATTGATACACAAAAATTCACCAATTTTGGTAAGTTTTAAAGTGCATGCTGATATGACAACTGTCACAATACAATCTAACAAAATTGTTTTAAATGAAGTTAAAGACAACCAAGCACTACTAGAGCCATCATATGGAAAAACTAAAACTTTTTGGACAACCCAATAAAAACAAGGAAGAATAATGTCATGACTACAAGCATGAGCTCAGGATTCAAAAGACTGTCTTTGTCACTTACTGTCTGTGTGAATCTGGACACATTCTGTGCCTTGGAGTCCTCATCCATAAATTGAAAATAAGTAGTATCATCCACATAGTTTTATTGAGAAGATTAAATGTATTAATACATGTAAAGCACTTAGTACAGTGCCCAACTTAATCAGGGCTAGCTGTTATTTTAGGATTTTTTTTTTGCTGCTGCTGTTACTAGTATATATATGTAATAGAAAATAATTTTTATTAAATAGAAAAGGAGTTTATTGAAAGAATATTGGTTCACAGAAACTTTTGATTTGGAGGACCAGACTCAAGGGCAGGCTTTTAGGAATGAACCCAAAAACTATCACAACTCTGGAATGATATGAAAATGCATCCACCATCACAGAATGCTCAAATCTCAAGTCTATACCATTACAATTCTGCACCAGAACTCAATGTTTCTTTATTATAACTGTGATTGTTCCAAAGCAAGGGAAGCTGGAAAAGCAAGTATGGGGCCTTTTAAAATCCTGTAGGAGAAGGCTATTTTGCCCAGATTCCCTAGATGTATAAAAAGTTCAGATGCCAGGTGGCTAAAATGAGCTCAGTGTGTTCAACTTTCATGCTAACATTTATTGCTTAGAATCATTTGTTAAAGGTTGTGTGGTTTTATTCAAGGTCAAGAAGATGGTATACACAGTCCCTTAAAGACGCTATGTTTCTATCATGAAAGGTTTAAAATATCTGTGACAGAAAAAACTTCCAAATACTATTCACATGTAAACAGTTACTGGATAGGCTTGGACTCCAATATTTATGGTACAGCTACTGGATTTATCTTCAGTTAATTGAAGATCTAAAAATTAGATCTTAAATAGTTGAAAATTTTCACCTCTTCACATGTGACTGGAGAGCGTGAATGGTTTCCAAGTCTTTGATTGGGAAACTAAAAATTCCCAGAGTTGAATGAACATTCTCCCATGGAAAAAAGTCCTATATTCTTTCTCTCGAAACTATTAATATATTTGTGCTCCTGGGGGGAATGCATTCCACGAGGAGGACCTCAGCCAGGAGGGGAAAGAGCAGTTATAACTGGGCTTTATTTTAAACACAACTATAAAAAATAGTGCCTAAAATACCAACAATCTAGCTCCCAACTGTCCTTTCCCAGTAACGGACAGCTATTCTGACCCCATGACTAATGCCCAGGGCCTGTCTGAAACTGGCCTGGTTCTCCGTCACGGGTGCATTCCAGGCCTGGTGGGTGGTTCTTGAAGCCAATCCCCCCACTGGGTGAACTCTGTGGCATCTCTGCACCAGTCAGACCTTTCGTGATCCCAAAAGATATTCTTGGAGAATTTATTTTAAGGGTTTATAGAAACCACAAGAAGACCATGAATAAGATTTCCTGACCAATCATTTTGGCTCAGAAGCAGAAGAATTCTCCTATACACATGAATGGCTTGCACAAAATACTTGGGTCACATTTTTAGCAATTGTAGCAAGAAAGAAAGTTGAAGAAAAAATTTCAAAATGTCAGTATGCTCATTGCCTACTTATTATCAAACTATCAACCAAAGCTTGTCAAATTGGAAATTCTGGAATAGCCACTTTTCTGGGATGAAAATTTGCTTTCTTCAACCTGAAGGGTAAAAATACTACCAAATTCTTTCTAAACTTTTCCCCCCAATAATTCACCAAATAGTATGTTTCTAGACATTTAAAACATACACACAATGGCCTCAGAGGGATCACCATCAACCACATGGTTCCAGCTGCCCCGGAGGCGGGCTCTGGTTTGGCCATGGAAGTGACACAGATATGAGATGTTCTCCTCCTCCCCCAAAAACTGTATGATAAAATGATTGGAAACTGAAAAAGGATTTAATGCAATGGGGACTTGGCAATCTAATGGCATGATAAACTTTTTTTCATAGATAAGTATTTAAATGTGTAGATCTGTTACAAGTGATTAGGCTTCCATATAACAAGGCAACAAAATGTAGCTGAGGGACACTGACACCAGACTGCCTGACTTCAGCTCCCAGCCAGGCAACTCAGCAAATTATACATTTAAATCTCTCTGGGCTTCTACCATTTGTAAATTGGGATGGTGGCAGTCGATAACCCACGTTGATGTTTAAGGATTATTAGACAGTGTGTGGCAGTAGGGGCTATGTAGGCAATTGTTAGAAGGTAAGTAAATAAAATCTTTAACATGTCTCCGAAAGTATGTAACTTATACTTGTCAGGGAATTCTTAGTTGAGATATAGCTCACTGGGTTCTTAACTTTTTAAAATAAAAATATGAAACAGATTATTTCTTAGATTTCTCAGTGATAATAAATTTGTGCTACCAGATAATCCTGCAAGAATATATGGTGAGAAAAAATACAAAAAATCTTGAGGGAAATATTTAAATATTTAGTAAAATGAAAAACATGCAGTCAATTAAAACAAAAAATAATCAAGGCAAGGCAGAAGACTCATCTAACTTTTTTTTTAATTTAAAGCAACATAATATCTATCATTAGGATTAAAAAGTGATCACAACCACAGACATCATTTAAATACTGTGGTCCCAAAAGCCTTTGTGCTAACATGTAGAATAATTGAGAAAGACTCAAGTTAGTACGTATAAAATTTACCAATCCATCTAGAAGCTGCTTTACTTTTATTTTAACCAACTATTTTACAAACAATGCTTTAAATAACTAACATGTCTTTTTCAAATACACATAAAAAGTACTTGAAAAGGCAGTGAAATTTTTAATAGTAACTACTTCTACAGATGGGTAGGCTGATATATTTGGGGATTTTTCTTTTTACTTCACACATTATTACTATGGTTTTTTTCCAGCATGTATCATTTTACATTATAGAACTTCTTAAAGTGTTAATTGTAGAAATTAGCAATACTTACTGATATTTGGTCCCTTATAGTTTCCTTTCTTCAAAAAAATCACAAAAGGACAATGACAAGAGCCCTGGTGGTGCCTAAGTGGAAAGTAGATTCACATTGCCCCAGCAGACCAACAGTGGTGGACCAGGCCTACATCTCCCTTTGGGGCCCCTGAGTTACGTTAAGATCTTTAACATCCAGAAAAATATAGTTAGCATTGCAGAGATGCACCTCTACTAATCCTCCTCAAATAATGACATTAAATTAACCAAGCATTTATTAGGACAAAATAAAAAATAAAAGCTAATTTTCTTTGGACAGAGAACAGTGTTATTACCTACCAAGACATCCAATACTAGTAAACACCTCTCACCATTTTGTCAGGCTTGAAAATAGGTTTAAGTTCCCCACCAGCTACCCTCCAAGTTAACGAGCCACTCCTCCCAATGGTAATCTTCACATTGTTTCTATTTAGGGTTTTGTGTCACCTTACTTGGCATATGAAACAACCTAAATTCAGGGAGGCAAGAAGAGAATTAATAACCAATAAATAAATATCACATACCAAGAGCTATGCCATGCATATCTGATGCATTATCTCCTTTAATCAAAAGCTGATATTATCCTCACTTTGCATATGAGAAAATTGAGGTTCTGGGAAGTCATTTGTCCAAGGACCCACAGCTTGAGAGTCACAGAGCCAAGAAGCCAGCTCCAGAATACTACCCACCACACCACACAGCCTTCAGAGTGGGTCCAAATTATAGTCAAATCCTTCAACGATCAGGCTCCAGTGATTTTGAATGACAACAGAAAAAAAATAACCCCTTATGTTTTTCAATACTTTATAAGTTTTCCCATGCTCATCTCAAGCAAGTCACTGCAGCATAGAACACGGTATTCAAATTCACACAAAAGAGAATTTTATGTGTTTTACCTGCTGACCAGTCAACTGTTATTTGCCAATGATAAATATGTTTCTGACTGTGAAATAATTCTGAACAATAATTGAGAAATTTAAGCTAAAGATCTCTTGTTTTCTTCTCTCCCTCATACAACCTACCCTGGATTTGCAGGAAAATGGACAAAGAAAATACGGTGGCCCCCCCCCTGGCTGGGATGCTGCACCCCCAGAAAGGGGCTGTGAAATTTTTATTGGAAAACTTCCCCGAGATCTTTTTGAGGATGAACTTATACCATTATGTGAAAAGGTGAGTCCGAGTTTAAATTTTCTTATCTTTCAAAGGAAAAGTAGTACTCTCTTCGCTTTGCTTTACTGCTCGTTTTTCCCAGTCACTGATGGTGTCTCTTCTGGTTGCTATTCCTTAAGCAATGAACACCTTCCCACCTGTTAGTGATGGTCTCCACTCATTCACCTGCTCCTGACATCTTTGCTGATGACTTTCAAATCTGCCTCTCAGCCCCCATCTCCACTGGCACACCCTCTCACCACAAACCAAATGTGTTTATCAGTACACAGTAACACAACAACCACCTGTCTAGAAGGAGATATTGCTCCAACTTGACATTTTAATGTGTGCAACATTTTTACCTAAAAAGAAGGGGTAGATGTGTCATAGCTCAAACATGTGTCTATCCCCCGTATTCATCTGGAATAAAATGTTTTTCTACAAGTTTGAATTTCTTGTCTATCCTAATGTTTTCACAAAATTAATTCTATAATTATGATGGTTCTCAGAGTAATTATATAATTATTAAGTTATAAAATTCCTCAGTTCTAATTCCTAATGATATTTTGTTACTAAACCCCAAATTAAAGGCATAATATAAAATCAACTGTTGTTTTCAATAATTTACCATGCGGTATTTTAAAAACCACATTCTTCAAAAGTTTAGCAAAAATGGGATTTTAGCTATTTCTTTTTGTAAATGCCAAAGTCATTTGTGCATGTGTGTGTGCATGTGTGTGACTCACCTTCAGATTCAGAACTGCTCCTAATTTTATACACACAATCCCACTTGGCATGTGGGCAATTTATGAGGACTTAATCCTGTAAGAACCTTATAGTGAACCTGAAAATGAGCACCAAGAGCCACCTGGAACACAACGCTGGAATATGCTTGAACTCTTTCCTAATGAGCCCAGAAAACAATTGGTGTCCCTCACTGAATACCTTTGGGTGAGCTGGGGTGGGATGAGATGAGGGGTAACCAGCCAGTGCGGTAATAGCATAGGCTTAATGATGCCTCTTCTTACCACATATGCTCCTCATACCTATTTAGGTCTCCCTTGTTATAGCAGCCAGCAATAATGAATTGCTGAGTCTGTATTTCTGGGGAGCATTCGGAGTACCAGGAGGGAGTGGTATATAAGTAAACAGAGTAGCTATAGGTACAGGTTAGTGAGTAGTACCTTTCAATGGTGGAGGTGTTGGCCCTGGGTCCACTGTATTAAGATGAGCGCTTACCTTCAGCCTACAAATTGTGAGAATAGCAGGGCTCTCCAGACCATTCTCTGAAACACAGCCTCTGTATTCTCTCTGGTGGTATCATGGGGAAAAGGCAGCTAAAAAGGTTTAGCAAGGTTCCAAATTAGTGTTCCTCGTTTTTCCTTCAATACCAGAGTATTACCAAGTAAAGATAAAATTAAGACTACTTCAGAGGCCCATGGAAAGGAAAAGGACAAATCTATCAAGAAATTGTTCTCCTGATGACAAATGTGTTTTCAGGTCCCCAGGACATTGTATAAATCCCCAGATAGTTTTGCGCTTGAAAGGTCATTTGCCTTGCTCTGTCAAAAACATATTCTGTTAACTTAGGCTGAAATGCCATTTATACAAAAAAATTTTTAACTTGACTTTGCCCATGAGTCAGATAATGGGCCTGAACCCAGCGTGAAAACATGCAGACCATTTCAGCGGGGATGCACATGCCGAAGATGGCAGTGACAGACTCCAGAAAACTGTGTGCGTGTGTGTGTTCATTAGGAGGTACAAATGCAGAAATGTGAACTTCTCTTTTTCTAACATTTACAGATTGGTAAAATTTATGAAATGAGAATGATGATGGATTTCAATGGCAACAATAGAGGGTATGCCTTTGTAACATTCTCAAATAAACAAGAAGCCAAGAATGCAATCAAGCAACTTAATAATTATGAAATCAGGTAAGATCCACCTTTTCTAGACAAAAGTGAATCAGATAATGCACCTGTATCTGTTCTTCTATCAAGTTTATCTAATACAGTATATGTAAAGATAACAAAGCCAGAATTAAAAAGGTTAGTTCTTTTCCTTGGGAAAAATCAGTTTAATGAAATATTTGTTTAATATCAACATGGTATTAGGTGCCAAACTAAGTTCTGAGAAATGTTTAAAGAAACAAAATTTATAATGTATTCATTTCATAAATATGCACTGGGCATAGCTTAAAATATTAGAAATATATCAAGGTATATACTTCCCTATCCTCAAAGTGGGAAAATAGATGTATAAGATTATTTATAAGAGTATGAAAAAATAATACCAGGAAATGGGATAAAGTTGTGGCAGGAGGTGGATTCTCTAACTCAGTGATTATGAGAAAATATTCCCCGGAAAAATACAATTTCACCTGAGGCTTGAATTAAGAAAACCAGCCACGACAGTCACACCTGGAGAAAGGTTAGTCTGGAGAAGGCAGAGCCAGTGCAGAGATTCTGAACCGAGAGCACGGCTGGCGTGTTAGAGGACAGCAACAGGAAAGCCGACACAGTAGAACCGAGTGGAGAGGAGGGTTGGCATCAGTACAGTGGGAGACCCTTCTAGTCTGTGTTCGAGAATGTGGATTATGTTTTAATGAAAAGAGGAACTCACAGAAGGGTTTTAATGAGCTTTATGCTTTTTAATACATTACTCTGTCTGTTTTAGAAACAAAGAGGGAAACCAGTGAGAAGGCCGCTGCAGTGGTGTTGACTTCAACAAGACAAGCCCGGGGGCTGCAAGGAGGTCGCGGTTGGGGGCGTGGTTAGTAATGAAGGTGGTGAAAAGGATCAGGTCTGGGATACACCAGGAATTTGGATAGATCAGACTGGCTAAATATTGGGTTAGGAGTGTGAGTGATTTAGGATTCAGGGAGGAGAACTAGGATGTTGGTCCAAGTATCTGCGGGCCTGACAGTGTCATGGAGATGGAAGAAACTGGAGAACAGCAGGAAACAGGAAGACCTCTGTTTGGGGCGTTTACATTTGAGATGCACAGGATACATCCTGGGGGAGACGGTGGAGAGGTGAACGCCTGATACCAGAGTCATAAGAGCGGTCAAGGCGGGAATACAGATGTGGAAGTCAGCCAAACAGAGAACATTTCAAACCATGGGTCTGTGGAGGGTTCCAGGACATAACTGACCCCGTGCAATCAACAACTGGTTTTCATAAACTGGTCATAGGACTACTTCATGAACTCTAATGTTCTAAAACCCTCACTTGCAGAGGGCACTGACATAAATCTTTGTGAAAGGAAGCCCTGGGCTAGCTGGAAGGAAGCTTTGTGCAGCCGCTGAAGGGCCACCGCTGTGGCATCAGACAGGCTTCACAGGAATGCCAACAAGTAGCTTAACCTCTCTGAGCCTCACGTTCCTCACCTGTAAAGTAGAGATAATAATACTTATTTCATAAGTTTTATTGTGGGGCTACCATAGAGATTTTTTGAAATGTTTAGCCCAGTGTTTGAAACACAGTAATAGATCAATAAATTATCAATAGTAGTATTCTATATTAGTATATATCATCAATCCTAACATATAGGTTTTCACATATATTTTCCTTTCTGAAATAGACAGGTACCTTAATACTGATGGAATCCTAAAATTGATGAATACAGAGAGAGAGAATTTCCTACCATTATTTTCCTGTCACCTTCTAGAAACCCAAAAAAAAGTCATGTATTATCCTTATAATTATGTAATTCAATCAGCTATTGGGTCACTTTTCTTGAACTCGTTGGCCACCAAAAGATTAATTGGATTTGAAAACTACTAATAGCCTGACCATTCAGTCCCAAGGTTGGATTCTGGAACAGAGTCTGAGAGAAAACATGAAGGAGGCTCTCCTCCAACACATGCCTCCATGCCTCCAAAAGGGCTGCCCGATGTGTGGAGGTGGCTCTGGAGTAGGAATCAGGAACTCTGCACTAGTGTACTTTCCTGTGGACACACCCTTAGACCTCACTCAGCATCAGTTTTACATTAGAACCTATGTTTTCTGAGCATCCATCACATGAAATTCAGATGCTCTTCAACTTACGATGGGGTTATGTCCCAATAAACCCATCATAACTTATTAAAAAGGCATTTAATCTACTGAATGACACAGTTTAGCCCAGCCAGTTTCTACTGAATGAATATGGCTTGTCCACCATTGTAAAGTCAAAATATTGTAAGCTGAACCATGATAAGTTGGGGACCACCTGGATAGTAATGTGTTTTGGAAAGAGTTACAGAAATTTAACATTACAGTTATGTGGTTTCAGGGATTAGAAGATGCCCCATTTGTTAGATTTCATGGAACCTGGACATCCTAACAGTAAGAGTTATTCTCAAAGTGGTTTCTGAGTGGATGTAGAACTGGCTATGTAGGGAATCAGCAAGGTATGCTGTATCCACTTAACACACAGTTACCCATTGGGGTCTGTCAACAGCCAGGGTATAAATAATGAATACAATAGACACCCTGGTCATTTGTGGTGAATACATTCCAAGGCCCCCAGTGGATGCCTGAAATCACAGACAGTACTAAACCCTATACACACTATTTTTTCCTATACATGCATAACTAAATTTACAAATTAGGCCCAGTAAGAAAGTAACAGCAATAATAATAAAATCAAACAATTATAACAATGTACTATAATCAAAGTTATGTGAATGGCTTTGGGTTCATTAAGTAAAACATAGGTTACTTGAACACAAGCACCACTAACAGAACAGTTTTTCTGACCCAGACCACTATCAACTGACCTATAGGCAAGTCACATATACAGTGCCGGTACGCCGGACAAAGGGATGGTTCACATTCAGCAGGGTGAAGAGACACAGCACGAGATTTTATCACTATTCAGAGGGGCACACAATCTAAAATTAATTAACTATTGCTTTCTGGGATTTTCCATTTAATATTTTCAGACTGTGGTTGACTGTGGGTAACTGAAACCATGCAAAGTAAAATCACAGGTAAGGGGGGACTACTGTATGATCAATCCACTACGGTCACTGATAAGGAATAGTATTCTCTGAATGTCAGTGTCTTTGTCTATTACATAGAAATAAAAATCTACCTACATCATGGGGGTGTTATGAGATAATGCATGTAAAGCTGACAGTATCTGATGTTCTGTAAGTGTTTGCTGATAGTGATGGTGATAAAGGAGGAGGGAGAGAAGGAAGAGGAGAAATATGAGAAAGCCTTTAGATGAAGTTGGGGGCAAAACTGCAGTCAAAGTTCAGGTTGGATATTAATTGCCAGGGGAAGGAATAGGGTAAATGGAATGTGAAGTAGCAGAATAGACACCCCAGAGCCAACCTCACCTGCTTCTACTCTGCCTTCAGTCAGTGGGACCCGCCTGAGAACCTTTCTTGTAGAGAAGACAATACCTTTGATTTGCTTTTACCAGGTTATAGGCAAGGTTCTTATCCAGAAATAATTCTGGGTTCTTATCCAGACCCACAATTGTCAGAGCATCCTCCTCACCATAAAATATTCACTGAGCATCATCTAAATGCCCAGCTTCTGGAGACATTAAAGTCATGCCCTCCGCTTTTGAGAGATGGCTTTTCTTCTCCAAGCACTTCTGGGAAAGGTGCCTAACCACACAGATTGAGAAACAGGATATAGAGCCTCTGGACTCCCCCTGCTGGTAGTCAACACCTGACCGTCCCCTATCAAAAATAACAGTGTCTCAAAAAATAATATCTAGGAAGAGAGCATTTATTAAGTGAAGTTTCTAAAATGAAAGATTACGTTTATCAGCCTTTCCCTTCCCCTCCCACCCCACCCCCCCAAAAAAACCAGCACATTCCTAGCACAATGGAAATGGACCTGTCACAGATCTGATATGGTCTTCGGTTCTTCTGGAAAGCATAGAAGGCAACCAGGACAGTAGCCCCACCCTGCTCAGAATCCCTGCCACAGATCCAAAAGCCACGAGTTCCAAAAACCCAGCAGTCTCCCACTCACCTGGACGTGCATTTTATATCATAACACACAAGTAGTTTCTGTGAAGGGAATTTTATCCAATTCTAATAACTCTGTGTCATTACAAAACTCACACAGCCTAATTTGTAACACACACACACACACACACACACACTGCAACAAAACTACAAAGTAATAAAAGCTAAACCATTCCGCCCTAACTCCACTGCCCAAAGATAATCACTACGTTAATTTGTCTTTCTAGATTTTCTATATAGTTGTAATTAAAATGGCCTCCTCACACACTTATTTTGTTGCCTTTTTTGTAACCCAGCAGCATATTGTGAACTGCTTTTATTTAACCAGTAAACATGCTTCTACAATACTGTGTTCAGTGACTGTGGCACATAGTGTAGAATACTATGAATGCCTGTCTTTTGTTAACTAGTGATTCTCAGCCAGCGGCAAATTGTTCACAATAGGGAACATCTAAAAAAGTGAGGAGTCATTTTTCAATGACCTAATGGATAGCTACTGGCATTTGGTGGGCGAGAATGAGGGTGACAAATATACTTTGCCACACAGTGAGGACACATCAAGCCCCAAGTCAGTAACATTTCAATTGAGATGCATTAAACTAGCCCTGTATGTTGGGATATTTTGCTCATTTGCCATTTGGAGGCACACTCTTTTAAATAACAATGATGAATATCCTTACACATAATACGTGGTGCTTATCTGTTTCCTAAGGTCACTTTCATAAGGGGCATTATTTGGTCAAAGGTTATGCACACTTGAGACTTTTCGTACATTCTGCCAAATGTTTCCCAGAAAAGTTTAATCAATCTACACTCTGCCAAGGAAAGTGCACTTCGACTTGCTATTAAGCAACACTGTTCAGTGGAAGAAACAGAAACTCGACTGAGAATCCAGCAAGTCACTTAATTTCTTGGAGCCTCGAGTTCTTCAGGTGTAAAATGGAAATAATACCTCCTCCTACCTACAGGCAACCTGTAGGAGCCAAGTAAGATAATATGTAAAAATCTGTTCAAGCGTAAGGGACTATTTGTAACAGCAATTATGTCTGAGTAGCTTCCCAATTTGGATGGAAAAGAAAGGGAGCACCAGGAGTTGCAAACTCAAATACCTCCAGGGCCAGGCAGGCACCTGTACTGCGGGCAGGAATAAGGGCCTCAGCACTGGGGATATTTTAGGGAGGGGTGAGAATTGACAACTGGCGAATCCACATCTACTCTAAAGACAGCTGATACTACTCGGCTTCAAATAACTTCTTTTTGTTTAAAAATATAGAACAAATGCTGACAGATTTCCCAATTTCTCAAAAGCAGCCACTGCTTTCCAAAAATAGTTTAATGATGATCAAGACCAAACACCCCATGTCTATAGGCCATTTCAGGTACAGGGTCATACTGCACTTCAACTTGTTTTAAACTTTCATCACACATGGATTCTCACCAATCAAAGCTCTGCTCTTTTTGCAGAAATGGGCGTCTCTTAGGGGTTTGTGCCAGTGTGGATAACTGCCGATTATTTGTTGGGGGAATTCCAAAAACCAAAAAGAGGGAAGAAATCTTATCAGAGATGAAGAAGGTAACCGAAGGCGTTGTCGATGTCATTGTCTACCCGAGTGCTGCAGATAAAACCAAAAACCGAGGCTTCGCCTTCGTGGAATACCAGAGCCATCGGGCAGCTGCCATGGCCCGGAGGAAGCTGCTGCCAGGTCAGCCACCCCCTGCTCAAAGCTGAGCCTCCCCCACCCCACCCTGCCCGCTGCAGGCTGCTGTGCTCCTCCGCAAAGGAGACAAATGCTTGCTGTTGCCCTGTTGGGTGTTGTTGTTGTTCTGTATCTTTGCTTGTGTTATGTTCTAAACTCTTTATGCTTCTTATCTATCTCAGAATAAATTACATCTTCTAAAGTTTTCACAGACTAGGCTCTGAAAAAATACTCATTCTATGTATTAAGTCTAATTTGCATGCACTGAAGAAATTTAGAACTTCAAGCTCCAGCAATCCAGTCATGAATATTTAAAGAATTTTCTTAAAATTAAATATATCAACCAAGTTCCTTTTATATAGAGACTTTGTTATCTGGTTTATTAGAAATTGGGTATGTTATCCATTATAATGTAGAAATAATAAATCTTCAGAAGATACATTATCCCAAAGACAATTAAGTGAGATACTTTTATCATGACTCCCTGGTGTCTAGTAACTTCTGCATAACCGGCGGGGAACAGAAATAATGGCTCTTTGTAGAAAGGCACCTTTGTTAGGTGCTGCAGCCCCAGGAAAGATCCCATCTGGGCAATAACCATCAATTCCCAAATTTAAAAAACTCCACACCAAGATTGCCTCCATCAGAGCAACTTAGGAAAAATTGTTGAAAGTCTTCACTCTAAAGTATTTGCTAAAACTGACATAAAATAAGGTATTACAGTGAATTACTATGAAAATAAGAGGATTTCCTTAATTACAGAATGGGCAGACCTGAATCAACTCTTTTCATGGTTATTAAGGGAGAGCCACCAGAATTGAAAACAACACAACAAAAAAACATCTGAATTTATGTTGCCATTGTACATATTCTTAAAGACAAAATAAACCACTAGTAGGATTAACCCACTAGATATTTTCAAAATTGGAAGATGGCTTCTGAGCTTGGAAAAAAGATTTTAACAATATTTTCATAAAGGCATCTAAAGTAAAAAATATGTATATATGGTCTAGCCCCCAAATTGCTGAATCTGCTAGAGAGGAGCATAAATTTAACGTTGAAGCTTCCATTTACTGTTTAGTCAAGTCAGCTGACTCACAGCTACGTAACACCCTGCCTCACTGGTTAGCACAGCTAACCTTTCAGTGACCTGAACTTAGTCTGTTGCTACCCTCTTCAACTCTTCTCTCTTCTGCAACACTAATGATTCTACCATTGAAAAGTCCCTCATTTCCATCCTGTTCTCAGGACACTATTATAATCTAACACAGACACTTCCTCCCCTTACAGACAATTTTTTTTTCAAGACCTCCTAATTATTCTCCCAGTTCTGCTCTCCCTGGGATGCACCCCAACCTCTGCCTATTCCATCCTCAATATTACTGTGAGATTAGTGTTCCCCAACTACCATGTCATCCTTCCAACAAGTTTTGGCAAACAGTAGGAATTCGATCTCTGCCTGTTGATAGGTTGAATGGTGTCACTCTCTCATCAGTTCAAAAGTATGCGCCGACCCCTTGCTGCATATGAGATAAGGAGTAAACCTCTGAGCCTGCCACTCAAGGCCTTTCATTCACTGCCCTAGTCCTTTACAAGTATATTTTCTGCCTTCTCTCTCCCAATAAAATCCCTTTCTATCAGGGCAAACCCCTCAGTGTCCTAGACAACACCATGCTATTTTTTGGTCTCCTCCATTCCGAAGGCTACATCCCCTTCCCCTCTGCTGGCTAATGATGCTCACAGCCCCAGCTCAGCCACCACTTCCTTGAGAAACTGGCCACCCTGCTCCAGCCCCCGTGAATCACTCTCTTCCCTCTGCCTGTAAAAGGAGACACGTGCAATGGTTCTGGGGTTGGGGGAGGAAGAGAGTGAAAGAGACTCCAGAATGGGGGAAAAAGGGCAGACAACCAGTGTTCCTAGAGAGTCAGAACTTCTCATTCATCAGCTTCCCCTCTCTTCAAAAACAATACAGCATATTGACTTCCCTCCCCCCAGAAAGAGCTTCCATCTTTACCTGAGTTGAGCAGACAAGGTGGGCATAGCTGAGCTGCCAGGCTTCAGGAATCTCAAGCACTTTGTTATGCTTCCACCCAAAGTCCCGACTTTTCCCTCTGCAGTCTCTGTCCAGAACCCAGGAGTATGGACGCTGCCTCGCTCTCCCTATCCGCTAAGCATCTTCATCCTGACCCAGGCAGCACCCCTTGCCCATGGCCTTTATATTGGCCTCAGCTGAGCTAAATTTCATTCAGCTGGATTTTAGTCAACCTGCCTCATCAGCAGATTACCAAGATGAGGCCCAGTGGTGAATAAGCCAGCCTCAGCAAACGGTTTCATTTCTACTGAGGCCTGAGAGTAACATCTATTATCCATTTGGACATTCTACCTATTACCCCATTATATATTCAACATCAACAAAGGATTTCTGGACAGCCTCGTTTTAAAGAATAAAGAGGTCCTTGAGGAACACGATAAGCAAGGCCTACAAGAAGCTTTTCCCTCTGAACTGATCCAGACATGGAAACAAAGGAAATTGCAGACTAAAGTGATACAGTCCCCAACCACCTACCTCCTGCTAATAGTGGCAGCCTTCATTTGACAAGATGCATCTTTGCTGAGATACATACAGAGCAGAGTTGTTGCATTCTACTCAGAGATTATCAAAGAATACTAAGAATGCTCATGAAAAATTCTCACAGGGGTCAGCCTCCATCAGAATCACGTAGAGGGCTTGCTACAGCAAATGGCAGAGCTCACTACCAGCATTCCAGATTCAGAGGGTCTGCTGTGGGGTCTGATAGTTTGCATTTATAGCAAGGTCCCAGGATGCTGCTACTCATGAGACTGCAAGTCTGAAGCAGTGATTGCCCATGATGCACTGCAAATTTGAAACACCGAGGAGGTTTTTAAATAATATCAGTACCCAAATCAACCTCTAATCAAGTGAGCCTGCTTCTTTGGGTTAGGGAGTCTGGGCACTGGTGTTTTAAGTTTTCCAGATGATTCTATTGTGCAGCCAAATTTGTTGATCCACTGCTAAATCTATCAACTAATACTGGACATTCAGTTGCAAGGGAGGTAAATAGAACCACTTGGGGACTACTCACTATGGAAACATTTATTGAGCATCTACAACATAACTTGCTCTCTTCTAAATAACATGACAGATTCTTAAAAAATGATACCCAGCTACTAGACTCACAGCACCCATTCCAAGGCAACTATATGTACATGAATATACATATATACATTTATGTAACAATTCAATAATATATAACTCAGTAATATATATTAGTAATAATATATGTTCAGTAATAATATATATATTACTGAATTATAATTTCAGAATGATCAGTTAAGTCCCTTATGTGCATTATCTTCCTTTGTTGTCTTCACAACAAACCTAATAAGGAAATACTTTTATTATCCCAGTTTCACAGATGAGGAAATTGGTGCTCAGAGAGGTTAAGCTTCCTAGGTGGGACCACAGATCTGATATGTGACCTTGTCAGATTTCAAAGCCTATGTTCCCAAATCACTCTGCAGCACTGACTTCCACAGGGATGTTTATGGAAATGACTTCTTCCCAAACATCCTCTCCCTTCTGTCCGTTTTAGCCTTTTGCAAATATTTAGGCTCAGGGATAACTTAACCATGGCCCTAGTCTGAGAAGGCAAAAGCCAGTGTGCACAACAGTGGTTCTCAACCTTGTCTGCATGTCAGAATGAACTGAGGTGCTTGTAAGAGTCCTGAGGCCCAGACCACTTATATCAGAGTTGGTCAGGAAAGTCCAAGGGTCAGTGATGAGCAGGTAAATCTTTAACAGCCAACCCCCAGGAGAAAACCAAAAGACATGACTTGCCAATTTCCATGGTATTAACACTCCCACTGTGGCTGATTTCAAGCTACCAACATAATAACAACTGGCTCACACAATTCTGAAAATTTAACAATCTATTCTTGCAAGTAAGGGGGAAATGGATCCAGCACACCACTGAGTGGAACCCAGGTTTCAGTATTTTTTAAAACTCTTCCCAGGCTGAGGACCACTGGGCTACAGAAATCAGAGTCACCTGAGAGCCCTAGGAATCCTGGGATAATGCAAACAGCAAAGTCTATGTAAAGCATGGAACAGGAAGGGAGGGAAAGCACAAGAATGGAAGGGAAAGAAAGGAAGGAGTAGGAGGGAAGAGGAGGAAAGTGAAGGAAGAAAGTAATTTTTAAAAAATCTATTCTATGGGAAGCAATGCAGGACAAGTTACCTAGCTAGCTTGAGTAGCAAGAGCCAGGATCTCCAGGATCAGCTAATTTATTACAATAAGCCCATCTGGGGGGGTTTAGAATGTCAACACCACCACTGCTTTCACTGACTACATTTTAAAGAATAAAAAGATGCATTTTGATGGAAAATAACTGCTTCTCATATGTACCAATTAAACAACAAAACCTTTACCAATACTGAAAATTTCTGATTTTGTTCCCTCAGGCTTTTTATTGTTTCCAGGATATAGCCTGTTCCATAACAATATAAAACAAACGAGATTTTTTATCAGATTTGAAACTGAACTGACCCTTACACTCCTCTCATTGTTTCAACATGGATCCATGCTGTCGAAGAGCGGGTGACAGGGGCTGAGTAATAAATAACAGAAGCGGTGGGGAAGTGAAATAGGTCTGAGCAAGCTATCTTCTTGAAAGCTCATTTCCTCTTCTATAAAATTGAGAAAGGCATTCCCCTCCCCACAGAGCAGCCCTGAGATAGCATATGGGAAACATAAGTACAGTGCAAGACACTGAGTAAACTGCAAGTTTTAGAAATAGAAAAATATATGTGGTCATGGGTAACAATTAATTTTTTAAGAAGAGTCCAGTTTCTCATCATAGACTCTTCCATTGCTCTCTGGCTTCTTAATTTGGATTAAAAAATTGTTTTTCTCTGGATTCCCAAATTGTCCATGTTCCGAAAGAGAGAGAAGTAGGAGGGAAGACAGTGGATGGGAGCCCTGACCGAGTGAAACAGAGAGCAAGCTAGGCAAGCCTGAGCCTGACCTGCTGTGCCCAGGTGCCATACAGGACAGCTCCGTGGTGGCACCTGGCCACACAGATTCCAACAGCAGCAGAAACACTTCCTAGTGACCGTTCTAATGCTTTGTGAAGTCAGGTTTGATGTGTGGGCCTTAAATCCATTCTTTCCCTTTCTCCCCTTTGCCCTCTCATCTCCAACAACTACCTTCACCCAGTAGGAGCCGCTGTAAGACCCGAACATGCCCATTGCTGCCTTATTTCTGTCTGGCTTCAAACCACATTCTAGTTCCCTTTATACATGGTCATTACAATAAGCCACTTACCATACAGAAGTTCCCTCTAGCCAGCTCCTACGTTTATTTGGAATGTCTCTTAAAGTCACTAATCATCTCTTTTAATATTGTTCTTCTCATTCAATTAAGACCTCAAAGATCAGTTTAATTTAAAAGGCCATCAGTCTGAACCGAGGTAATGTTGTCCTGATTTCCACCTAATTCACCATACTTGTGATTCTTTTCAACAGGAAGGATCCAACTATGGGGACACCCTATTGCAGTAGACTGGGCAGAGCCAGAAGTAGAAGTTGATGAAGACACAATGTCTTCGGTGAAAATCCTATATGTAAGAAACCTAATGCTGTCTACCTCTGAAGAAATGATTGAAAAAGAATTCAACAATATTAAACCAGGTAAGGCATATCACAGAAGATTACTCCTTCAAAATGTACTTGAAAAACACTTATACTTATGATGACTTTCATAACTTTAAATAGGATATCTTTCATTTATCATTCTCACCATTGCATGCAAACTATAAAAACTATATTCCCACCTTTTGATTAGAAAATAGGGACATGTGGTCCTATATTTATCAATATTATAATTTTACATTTATTTGTGTGATTACTTAATGAATACACATTTCCTTCACTAAACTATAAATTTTATGATTTTTTTTTTGCTCTTATTGTGTCTTCAGCCCCTGCCTCCATGCCTGGCATGTAGTAGATGCTCAATAAATATTTATTGTGTTAAGGAATATGTGGCCATATCTACAGACTAATGTAGGGTTTCTCAACTTCAGTATTCTTGATATTTGGGACCAGATAACTTTTGGTTGTCGAAGTCTGTCCTATGCATTATAGGATATTTAACAGCATCCAGGCCTCTGCCCACTAGATGCCACTTAGCAACCCCCCAAGATGTAATAATCAAAACTGTCTCCAGACATTGCCAACTTAATCATAGAGAGCAAAAGTGCTGCACTCTGGAACCACTGTTTTCATGGAATATGATTGTGACTTCAAGTACATAAGTAAGTGGGTGACAATTAATTCTAGGAAACTCATTCGGATGAAGAGGAAGGGAAAGGAATAGAGGGAAGGTGGAGGGGGATCATTAGTCATTGCTCATCATGTCCACACTTTTCAGTATCACTCTGAAGTCCTAAGATAGACTCCCCAGCCTTTTTCTCTCATACAGGAACGACAACACAAAGACAGATGAAGATACAATGTCCAAAAAGCATTTCCCAAAGCCAGTTCTGTAGAACATTATTTCTACAAACTGTGAGAAGTTTGTTATTGCTTAAAGGGGTCCATAGTCAAATGTTTGCAAACACCAGATTCAGCAAAATTAAACAGATTTTTTTCTGTAGTGGAAGTTACAAGGTCCTTAACATTCTAATAGACTTTGACAGTCTCCGAAAGAAGAAATGATGGATGCTGGATTTCCTAAATATTTGGACCGTGAATCCCATTTTTTGGCAGACCATCTCATGGGATTAGTGTCTTGGAACACACTCTAGCCTAAGTTTATCACTGTGGTAACACCTTTCCACGAGTGAGAATTTTTCTGTCTCTGGGCAGCAACTCTCTAGGTGGTTGATAAACATGGGCCATGGTGCCATCATGTTAAAACTGCCTAAGAATATTCACTTCACACAGTCTTGTTCCCTGTTTCCATCTCTGGTGCTGAGTCAGGTCTAACAGGATAAGCTAATTTGTTTTAAACATAATTGGTAAGAAGGTCATTTCTCCCTTTTCAAAAACTCACCAGAGATTTATCTGTTTCCAGCCTTCAGGAACTCTGCCTTCCTGCCATGTTAGTATATGGGGTGGGTCCATGCCATGAGCTAGAAATCCATAACTAATGCAGAGACTACAAATAACTGACTGCTTCACTATGCACCAGGCATTGCGGGGGGGCGGGGGGGGGACACTTTCACAGCATGTGTCATTCATTCATCACCACAACCCTATGAAGTAGGTTACTTTATTATTTAAATGATTTCCTAGGTTAGAAAGCTAGGACCCAGAGCAATTAATTAAGTTGCCCAGGATCATACAGTTAACAAGGGGCAAATATCAAATTTGAGTCTAGGTCTGGTTAAGAGCTTGTTCTTAACAGCTCTATGACCCACATGCCCCATCCTTACTCCCTTCACTCATTCATTCAACTGTCATTACTTTAGCAGCTCCTTTATGCCAGGCACTGTGGGAGGTGCTAACAAGCATGAAATGCTTGTGAAAGGAGTTTAAGATGCTCCAGAAAAATAGTAGAAATGACAATCTACCCTTGGGGTACAGAGAAGACTCCTGTTTAGGAGACATCTGAAGGTTGATGCAATTGTAGGGACAGAAACGAATGTGTGTATAAGTAATGCTTCGTCACCACCTCTCCCCACTTTGTGCTGACTTTTCTACTTTCCCAGAGTGAATAATACTTCTTATTTTTATATACTTGAAACATTACCTTTTTTGGGAAAGGGCTGGAGTGAGAAACTACTAAACGGCTGCTTCCTTTCATAGTTACTGGTTATCAGCTTTCCCATCTGCATGTTGAAGAGAAACACATGCCCAGGCCTCATTAATTATATGACAATAATACATGAATTACAGAGAGTGGATGAATAGCAGACACCTGCCGTATTGGAAAGAAAAAGAGCCAACCAGCTTGTTTTCTAGTGGAAAAGATGTGTTTAGATCCCTCAGAGAAATCAGAGCATTCCCAGTAAATATTTGATCATATATTATTTTAACCCTGATTAGCCTGAAAGTAGTACAATGCCACTCAGAAAAATAAATGACAATCAGAGCAGAAACCAGGGCCAAAAAATGTATGTTCTCCCCCTTCATAGCCTTAGGGTATCTGCTGAGATTCTAATTATAGTTATTCTACAGAATCTGATTTTCCTAAAACAGTTCAGCATCAGAATCACCTGGAGGGCTTGTTAAAATAGACTGCTAGCCCTGCCCCCAGAGTTGTTGATTGAGTAGTTGGGGGGCAGGGCAAGCTCAAGTGTCTGCATTTCTATGAAGTTGCAGACTAGAGCTCTCATTGCTGCTCTGAGGACCTCACTTTGAGAACCTTGGTCCTCTGATAATCTTCCCTTTGGACTGCAGGTGTGTTTCTCTTCAGGCGACTGTTGTCTGCTGGCAAACTGATAATGAACAAAGTAATATTTTTCAAGTTACAATTTCAGAGATTCAGAGAGTCTTTTTCATCATGGCTGATGGATTACCACTGATATTTATTTTATTGCCTCACTTTCTGCCAAATGTTGATTAATCAGTAAACAAATTCCTATACACTAAAGAAGGAAAACATCAATATGAGACATGTGGTGAACGTTATTGTAGAGAAAAACAGCTTTTATGACACAAACTCTCACTTTCTCATTTGCCTGTAGTATGAGGCTGAATTTCATATATCTAAATGTCCAAAATGAGGTCTAGCTGGACATTGCTGCTCAAAAATGCAAGTCAACTTCGATATCTGAAAGATGAATTTTAGAACATCTTAATCATTATCACCTGAAAGGTCACCCAACTAATGTGGATGACAGAGGCTGGAGTGTGAATTGACTGAGAATACTCTCTCATTCCACATACATTTACTGATCAGCCCTGTGCACACGGCTCTAGTCAGGAACTGGGTGGAAACTAGACCAAGGTGCCTCCAAAGCAGATCCTGTTCTCGGGGTGCTAACAGTCCAGGAGAGACGGAGGATGGCACCGAAGAATAAATGCAGCAAAGACAAGAAGGATAAAGGTCCTCATGACCCGCCTCTTACTTCTCAATCATCAAGACAAGCCATGGGGTAGAGTCAGGAGAATTAGCCCACCCAACACTGAAGGAATAAAGAGGCTATATTGGAATTCAGTTAAGTATATGTCTCATGTTTCATGGTCTCGGACACTATTTATTTTCTCAGCTTGGTGAGGCCATTATGCTCTGTACAAACACTGTCGTAAGAAGTCAAGGATTGAATGCCAAGAGGAGAGAGAAGTGAAGAACCGCAGTGTTTTAAAATTATCCTTACATTACAGCACTATCATCATTCCAAAGGAAGACAGTTTATAACTACAGAACCATGTGGTAGTGTAGGAAACTCTAATGGCTTTGTGGCCATGGATCTAAGAGGATAACTGAACTTTGATGGGGACGGATGAAAGGAGAACCTATCTCTTCTCCTGATTCTCCCTGGCATCGGGTCCCATGCTTTATTGTCTCCAGAAACTAAGCATAGGAAAAGAAAACCTGGTCTCTCAAGTTGCCCTCAAGTGAGTAAACCTACATTGGGTAGTGTCATGCTAAGCTGCTGCTAACAAGTTCATGTTAAATAAGTTTCCATCTTAACTTCACTCTAGGCAAAATTTTATTTTTAAAATCAAGTAATCAACAATACTCTTTAGCAACATTTTAATAATACTGCTTTCACTCTATTTACAGGTGCTGTGGAGAGGGTGAAGAAAATCCGGGACTATGCTTTTGTGCACTTCAGTAACCGAGAAGACGCAATTGAGGCTATGAAAGCTTTAAATGGGAAGGTAATGTAGGACAAAGCAAATATACGTCCAGATTCCACCTGAGTTTAATGTGGAGATTTTGTCAAAAGAACAATCCTGCAAGTCTACCTCATTCAGGCTCTCTTCATCACTGACATGGCTGCCTCTGTCCATTTAAGATGAACAAAAGAAAGATGATAGAAAGTAACAATGGACACATGGTCCATTTGTCCAACCTAGGGCTCGTGGCATTCCTGGAGTTAAAATGACAAGGGGCTGGAGAAGTAACAGGAAACCTGAAGGAGAGAGGATTGTACAGAATAGGTCTCTGTGAGGGAACTAGTGATCTTTGGTCAAGAAGTACATCCAGGCTAAGGTAACCTCTCAGAGGGAGGCAGAAAAAATAGTCCAAACTCACCGTTCACTCTCCTGCCAGGACTCCCCATGGGCCAAATCCAACCATAACCCAGAAGGCGTAGGAGCCCTGAAGAGGACTCCATGTAGAGCACCCAGCCCAGGGCAAAGAGGGTGGAGACCAGGAGCCAGGGGTGGGGTGGAAGGAGGTGGGGGCTGAGGGAGCAGATCTGGAGAGCAAACGGAGGCTCTCCCACAATAGGCCCTTCAGCTGCAGTGAGGCCCAGGAGTAAGAGCTTCTCCAGCACCTACAGAAATGTTCGAGTCCTGAGGGAAAGAGTACAAACTTCAAAATACAAAAATAAAACTGCAGAGCAAAAATTAATGCATATTTAATATGTCTATAAAGCAAAACATTGTTTTATCATTATTACACTTAATAATATCCTGAGAATGTTATTATTTTGTAAACAACATGCACATTAGACTTTTTCAATTTGAAAACATTCCTAAGTCTACATAATAATTGCTGAAAAGGGATAATCTGAATTAAATGCTAATTCATAATTATATGATTATTAAATAAACTACCAATTTATGATTAATTTATAAAGAACCAAAAACACTGGAATAATTACAATGAAAAACTATTCAAATTTTTCCCAATATTTAAGGCTATATATATGTTTATAGCTATAGTTTTTGTATAACAATGGATACACATAGTAACAATTAAAATATATTCAATATTATTAAGTATAAACTAAATATTATAATTGTATTTCACTATAATGTGGTATGGGAAAATCAAAAGTAAGTTTGCTTAGGAACTTTGAAGTCTTTTAAGTATGCATACGGATATTTGTATTTAACTTGTTAAACAACACGAGACAAGTTTTTTGCAGTGGAATAAGGATCATATTTATCATGTAAGGAAATGAACTAAGAGTTGAAATTTTACAGAGTAGGAAGAGAGATGTAATTGGAACTAGTTAAAAAGTTACTATAGTCACCCAAATGGAAAAAAATAGGGCTTGAACTAGGGTGGGAATGGAATGTAGAAGAAAGCTCTACGGATGACAGAGGGGTGGGGTAGGGGGCCCAGGAACTAACTGGCTATAGGGGTAAGGAACCAGGATGAGTCATTACAGGTTTTTAATATGGGAAACGAGGGTAATACTGTTAGGGAAGCCTGGAGGAAAGCCTATTTGAATAGAAAAGTGATGAATTAAGCTTTGGATGTAATTCTCCATATATTCTATAGATATTATGGATGTCTATAATATACAAGAAATTTTTCTAGGCTTGGGCTATACAGATCAATGAGATATTGTCTTAGCTCTTGAAAGGTCTAAACCAACTAACTAAAATACAAAGCTGAGTTTAAAACACTGTTGGGGTGGCAGAGGAACGCAAAACAAAATCTATTACAATAAGAAACCTGACTTTAGAGAATGCAATCATTTTTTTTTACAAACATCTCTTGATATGAGTGCCTATAAGCAGAGACCTATTTTGGTTTCTCATCTTCTTCAAGAAAGGACTGATATAAAGAATAATATATCCCATTCATTTGATTCCTTCAATACTCCATTTCTTCTAAATACATCAATGGTAAAACAACACAGTTGAATACCAGCTGGATGCTCTCTCTCGGTGTGTTTCATCTAACATATTTGACATCAGCTCCTGTGACTAAAAAGTAGGGTAGATGTATAGAAGCAAGGCTAAGTTGCTCCAGAGGCGGAACAAAATGCTCAGAATCCCTATGAAGCACAAGCTTCACCCAGCAGACTTCAGTGATCCAGGAACCACTGAATCAATTGCTCATGACATCAGGTAATAAGGTTGCTTCAGCTACTTTATCAACATCTTTATAGAATCAGCTACTATAAAAGGGAATTTTTGCAGAAACACTTGACATCATTTCTTTTCTATATATAAAATAGAAGTCCATCTTATTCTTACTAGAAAGAAGCCACAAAAGCTTTTTCACAATACCTTGTCCCTTTGATAAGAAATACATTAAACTATCAAGTATTTGTTGAGAGCCACCTTTTTCTCTTATGTATGCCAGTGATACATAGAAGTGAGTGAGACATATAGATCTACACACAGCTATTCTTTTAAACTATTACCTTCAGCTGTTATCTGGAGCTGTTTGCCATGTCAAAAATTTGTGTCAGACTAGAACCACTTCAGTAACTCTTGAGGACACATTTTAAGGAGTGCCTGATTTGAGAAACCTCAACACTGTCCCACCTTCTCTGTTTGTTAGTTCCCAACTCTTCCAAAAGGCTGCCTCACAAGGAAGTACAAATGGGAGACAATGTAATAGCCTCACAGCTTCTTCCTCCTTGAGTTAGGCCCCACTTTCAGGCTCTCCTCCTTCCCAGTGAAAACTTACTTATTTCGTAGCTATCCAAAGGAGCAAGACATTTAGCTGTCTGGCAGCCAGAAAGGCCTAACTGGGCAGCCCATTACAAAATGCTAATAATTGTAAGATCTCTTTACTGGTTTCCTTTCACCTTCATTGTACTCTTGTAGGTAGTGGAGATGATATTCCACCCATATAACCTAAAATGTCTTAGAATTATATAATTATGTAAATATGTCATTTAAAACGTGTGTCACATTAAAAGTATTACATAATTCTCTGTCATGGTGACTGTATTCAGATAATTATCACCAATATGTTAATGGACAGTGGTCACTTTATCCCTGTGAAACCCTGTTGGCAGCTGATATGCAACTTATGAATGGAACTATCTAGGGAAAACTTAACTTACGTACAAAGACCAAGCTATAAAGAGACAAGATATATACAATTGAAAGAGTCAGTACATGCACGCAAATGGGCTAACACAGAAGGAGATGCATTACAAGGGCTCAACCACACTTCTTTGTCTTTATGTCTTCTTGTTTTGCTTTTTTCTTGCTCCCTACTGCAGGTGCTGGATGGTTCCCCCATTGAAGTGACCCTAGCCAAACCAGTGGACAAAGACAGTTATGTTAGATATACCCGAGGCACAGGTGGAAGGGGTACCATGCTGCAAGGAGAGTACACCTACTCTTTAGGCCATGTTTATGACCCTACCACAGCCTACCTCGGAGCCCCTGTCTTCTATGCACCCCAGGCCTATACAATTCCCAGCCTTCATTTCCCAGCCACCAAAGGGCATCTTGGCAATAGGGCCATTATCCGAGCCCCTTCTGTAAGAGGTAATACTAATCAGTTCTTGCCTTAGAATAACTCCGTGATTTCAAATGATTTGTATTGCAATAGCCTTCGACAAATTGGATGGGTCCACTGGGAGAAAAGGACTTGAAAACTGTTTGTTAAAAATCAAATATTATATCAGTAGTTTTCCTTCCATAGGAATCTTTTTTCACATTACAACTGGTTATTGAGAAAAAAACTTGGTCACAGCATAGTACAAATGAGTCTATGCACACATTTGATCTTTGCATGGACCCATAAAATTTGCACAAACTAAATCTCAGGTCCACAATTGTTCATTTTTCTCTTATGATTGAATCACCACATTGCATTCAATTGTGACTTATCACAAAACTTCCAAGTGAAAGCGGCATGGTCCAATGGAAACCAATTACCTCAAATAGCAAAAACATGTTAAGGCACTTACTTGATAGTGACTTGGTAGAATCATCTTTGTACATAAATCATAAATTATCATAAATTTATTCTAACATATGTAAGATGTTCTCATCTACTTCTCCAAGAAATGTGTGTTATGCCTTCTAAAAAGCCACACTATTCAGGAACTCAACATTTCTTTACTGATTACTACATAGTAAAGCACAAATAGAAGAGAAAAAAAACTCAGTCTACTAAACCATAAATCTTTCCTTTTGAATCCTGCAAAAACTGCAAATGTTCAAGCAGTTTTCTGAACTCAGGCAGTTCAAGCAATATTGAAGATAAGGGAAACAATCTTCTTTATTCCCAAGAAACCAGTTTGTCTCTGCCTAGTGGGATCCTTCAGATTAGTTGTGCTAGAATGTGGCTAGTACAGACAGAATCCCAGTTCTACCTTCTAAATATGACACCCGACTAGGCAATTCAACAACAAACTGTGCATTTAAATCCATTCTTGGGTTTGACTTAGAGGCAAACAGGCATGTCCAGATTACTGTGGAAACATTTATTTTACTGTGTTTTACTATTTTTCAGGAGAACTGAATTGACCATCCAAGGAGTGCTAGTCTTCAACAGCCTTAAAAGTCCCACACTCCTAGTACACACACTTCCCCCCAAATTCCAATGCGAAAGAAGTCATTAGGATTTCCATCAGAATAATCAGTCTATATGGTGACAAATCATGTCACTGAAACATTATGCATTTATAATCTAAAATCACATCATTAAACATTTCATATATGAAATGTAAGTTGTCAACCAGTTGTAATGTAAGATCAAAACAAACTCTACTCAAGGGGGAAAAATACCTGTCTGATAACAAGAAAAAAATCAATGAATGATATTCATGGATGAAGGGTAATCATTTTAACATTTTTATCTTTATGTTACCAATGAGAAATCAAAGTAGCAATGTGAAAAATAAAAATCAAAAGGAATCTATTAATGAAACTCAATGGAAATTTAAGCCTCACATTGACAGAACATAAGGTAGAAGATGGTGAACATAAAATGCTTTCTAAATGTTCGTTTTCCAGCAGATCATTGGGAATGGAATTATTGGAAAAGCTACAATTCATTTCTGATTTACTGATCAATGACAAAATGCAAGACAGATTTTAATGCATTTGGTCATTTCATGTTGTAATGTTTCTAAAAATCACCTTCCCAACGTTTATTATTCTATAGAAAAATGTCAACAAAAGGTTAACTAAAGACAGAAACTGCAAAATTTTTCTCTGTACCCAAGTTTTTAAGTTGCCCATGCACTTACCAATAACTTCAATAGTATTCTTTTCTTCCACAGACAGTTAAAAAAACAAATGAACAAAGACACCTCTGGTGAACTCTGCTTTATGTTGAGTTTCATTACATTAGAATCCTACAGTTTTCTACCCATCTTCAGGGAAGTAATCAATGTGACTTGGGCTAACTTTTCCATTACAGTAAGATTCAGGGTGATTTTCTGGTGGTTTGATTCAGTTTAATGCCTTCTTACATTCCTAGACATTTACATGAATGTACCTGTAGGGGCTGCGGGAGTGAGAGGACTGGGCGGCCGTGGCTATTTGGCATACACAGGCCTGGGCCGTGGATATCAGGTCAAAGGAGACAAGAAAGAAGACAAACTCTATGATCTTTTACCCGGGATGGAACTCACCCCCATGAATCCTGTTACCTTAAAACCCCAAGGAATTAAACTTGCTCCCCAGGTAGGTGATGTTATTCCAGAGATAGTTTCTTTAAGTTGAGCCAAAGTCCACTATTCACCCTTCATCAACTGATGTGACTTGATCCCTACTTGGGTTATGGTGTTGTTTTATTTTGTCTTGTTTTTCTTTTACATAGATAAAGTGCCCAATCCACATAATGTGCTGTCAGAGACACTGAGTGCTGAAGGCCATTATTCCATCATAGACTGTCTTTTTTTAGAACTATAAAATGTGGCACCTTAAATAATCTTGCACTGAAATGAAAAGATCCTGAGAGCTATTGAGAATTATCAACCAATACCTTAAATAAGATAATATGAAGCAAAGACCACAGTTCAAAATAAATGCCAGTTGTGTGTGAGCCAGGTTAGTTAGCAAATGCAGGATGTTCGTGACAGTGAATGAACAGACTATTTAGAACAACTTTTCTTGGAAACATCGTGTTTAAGAGAAAACACCATGCTATCTATGATGATATTATGACTCATTAACTATAAGACGCCATCAGTCATGCCAAATTAAGTTTTCTACTGTGATTTTATTTAGGCAGCAGCATTATAGTGAGTTTTCATTGCTTCCTTTTTGCAGTTCTAAGTTTCCAGGTTTCTGCAGGAGGCTGTGGTTTTTATTATGGGAAAGTTAAAAGTGATAAGAGTTGTTTTAGTATGGAAACTGAGTAACAAACATGGTTAAAAATAGCACAAAACTGGTTCTACGTTAACCCTTAGATTCTTCCCTGTGTAGTACTACCAATCTCTCTGCAGAGGCACTTTCGCTGAGTCATCAATAACCAGTTGTTAACCGTTATAGTCTGTATGCTCTGAAGAAAATTTTCCTGCTCTCACCACAAAGGCATGAGCCTCAAATGCATGGAAGTAGCCTATGACTGCAATCAAGTAGAAAACTTGGTTTTCTAAAAGCTCATCTTGAGTATTTGTGTGTGTGTGTGTGTGTGAAATTACTGGCTTTCTTATAAATACAAATTAGTATACCTAAGGTTTCTGTTACCTCTACCCAATTGAAAAAAAACAGTGCCAGCCCTGGCTGGCATAGCTCAGTGGATTGAGTGCAGGCTGCGAACCAAAGTGTCGCAGGTTCGATTCCCAGTCAGGGTACATGCCTGGGTTGCAGGTCATGACCCCCAGCAACCGCACACTGATGTTTCTCTCTCTCTCTCTTTCTCCCTCCCTTCCCTCTCTAAAAAAATAAATAAATAAAATCTTTTTAAAAAAACAGTGCCTATCAGAATGGTAAACAGCAATCATTTGTTTTTTTTTTTCAAAAACCATTTATTAGGCATCCTTTATGTACAAGTATTTTGCTGGTTTCTGGGGATAGACAATTGAATATAACACAATCGTTGCCATTGAAAATTGTATGACATAGAAAAAGTAATCCAATTAAAAATAGTCAAAAGACCTGAATAGACATTTTCCCAATTGCAATATTAAATAGTCAATAGATTTTTAAAAATGAAGGAAACCTGTCATTTGCAACATGGATGGACCTTGAGTACACTAAGTCAGTCAGACAGAGAAAGAAAATACTGTATGATAACATGTGTGGAATCTTAAAAAATAAAATATCCAAACTCAAAAAAAGAGATCAAGTTTGTGGTCACCAGAGGTGGATAGATGGTGAGATTGGGGGAGTTAGGGGGAGGTGGTCAAAAGATACAAGCTTTTCATTATAAGATACATAAGTACCAGGGATGTAATGCACAACATGATGACTATAATTAATGCCACCATATGATAGTTAAGAGAGTAAATTCTAAGAGTTCTTATCACAAGGAAAATATTTTTTCTTTTTTATTCTTTTTCTTGTTTTTGATTCTAAATGAGATGATGCATGCTAACTAAACTTAGGGCAATTGTTTTATAATATATGTAAGTCAAACCATTATGCTGTACAATGGAAACTCAGTGATGTATGTCAGTTATATCTCAATAAAACTTGGGGAAAAAATTACACGGCCAGTCAGTGAGAGGATACTGACAAGTACACAGATAATTATAATACAAACTAGCAAGTGCCATGAGTTTAGACTCAGAGCTTTGCTTAGAAAGCACAAAGCTAGTCATCCAATCTCCCTCGGCTTAAAACTGAAAATAATTAAAATCCTGCAAAAACTAAAAATCTTCTAAGATAATAAAAAATGACGATCATGATAAATTCTGTGTAATCATTCTAAGAGCTGCTATAGATGAGTAGTGACCTCTGCTTTTGATATCAAACCCAGGTTAAAAATTGGTCAAGCTTTTTATTAAAATATGAGTATCCATACCTATTAACTAATGAAAATTCTTCAATTAACTTGTCCCCGAATTTTTTCAACTATGGCTTAGAAACTGAAAATCATGGCACGCCACCAGCCAACATGGATGGAGCCCTAACAATTCCATAGTGGAGGTACAAGCTTCCAACAAGGAAAGCAGAGGATCAAGTTCTGCCCTGCAGGGCCTGTAGTTAGAGCTGGGGCTGCTCCCTCAGTGTGTATTTACCCAAAGGGCATAAATGCAATATCTGCCAGCCAAAGCAATTTACAATTGCCTAGGTACTTTAGAGAATGCTTTGTAGATAACAAGAGTTGCAACAAAACTGAAAATAGTAAGAGCAAAATGTAATAAAGAAGACATGAGCAATCTAGAAATTTAGTAAACTGGAAAATGTTATACTAGTGTAGCCGTACTGGTGTTAGAACACAGGAGATAAGCTCCACAGAGTCATCCTGGGACATTGTTTGTCCCAAAGAGTTTTTTCTTTGTCAGATGAATGCCGTATTTTGCACACTTTACTGGATCTGCTAACTACTGGGAGCCTTGGGGCTTGCGGGCCACCAAAAATGGCTTCAGGATGCAGAAAATATGTGCCTTTAGACATGATTCAGTTTGGAATAATGATAGGGGAAAAATCATGCGGAAGGATGCTATAAATCAGATTATTGTAAAAACAACCAGAAGTGTTTTGCCAAACACATTGCAACTGTCAATACTTGTCTATTAATGCTCATCAACAAAGACTAACTCATTGAACTTTAAAACTTTATAAAAATGTGAAGATGAACCTATGATAAATAACATGAATAAGAATATACTGTATTCTTAGGTTATTTTCTCTAGACCATTATAAGCAGAAGGATTGAGGATAATTATGAGTAAACCCAGCCACACAGTGCTGGTATATCAATTTTCTTAAATGATAAAACTAAACTACTGGTAAAAGTTATAGCTAATGGGCTAAACTAAAAGCATATTAGAATAAATGATGTGAAGATGGTTTTTATAAATTAATAAACCTAACATTTTAAATGGAGTTCAAATTGAGCTCATCTTAAATTTTAAGGGTCATTAAACCATGTGGCATTTTATATCTTCTCGTATTAGCTGAAACTCTCTCTGAAGGGCGGAGCTGAAAAAACTGAAAGCTGGATAAATAATGCCAATGTGACATTTTAAAGGGAAATCTTTTCTTTTTAACTCTTGTAGATATTAGAAGAAATCTGTCAGAAAAATAACTGGGGACAGCCAGTATATCAGCTACACTCTGCCATCGGACAAGATCAAAGACAACTCTTCCTATACAAAATAACCATTCCTGCCCTGGCCAGCCAGAATCCTGCCATGTGGGTAACTTCTCCAGATTCCTAATCATGTAAATTTTAGAGTAAGAAACTCTCATAAGTTAAGTGCATTTTATCACCATCTAAATAAGATAAATATTCAAGTCTACTACCCACTCATTTTTCATTAAACAGAAACGTTGAGATGTAGAGTTGGGGTGTGTGTGCCAGCTGTGAGACTGAATCTCAGAGGCCCCAGATTTTGTATAGACAATGAAGATGGGGTGGTATAACCAACCAATGGAAAACTGCAGATGTTACATTTAATAGAAATGAAAATTATAACCCGTTCTTTTATCTCTGTGGTATTTAAGTTGAGTCGTATGAAATAGCCATTTTATATGAAATAACACCATACCCTGTCATTTAAATTTTGGATCAAAGATACAGCCTCTCTGTTATAGGATATTAACTCCTGAGTTTTACCTTGAGTCTGCATTTCTACATCAATTTAGGAACCATAGTGTTTCACATGCATCTTAGACAATCCACATAAGAGTTGTAAGTATGCTACAGGAAATGACATCAGCCACCAATGTTCTAGGTCAATTTACAGATATTTCTACATGCATATATATTTAGAAGGTTTAATAGCAAATGGAATACAAATAGACACACAAAATTCTATCATCCTATCATCTTCAAAAGCTAGCAGCAGCTTAGATTTTTACCTGTCTCAGTAGCACAAGTTTAAAATGCCTACGCTGACTGTGCTTTCCAGCCACCCCTTCACACCTCCGAAGCTAAGTGCCTATGTGGATGAAGCAAAGACATACGCAGCCGAGTATACCCTGCAGACCCTGGGCATTCCCACTGATGGAGCCACCGCTCCAGCTGCAGTGGCTACTGCCGCTTCTGCTACTGCTTTTCCAGGTATGAAAATACTGGGCCAGGTTGGAAGAGGCAAGTAAGTGTCAAAAGTGGAGGTAAAACCTCCCCTCACCCCGTCACCCCTATCCCAACTCTGGCTGTCACTGTAATCAGGGGAAGGAGAGCCATAATCCAAGGGAGCCAGAGCAATTGAAATAACTGCTCATTGGTGGTTTCAGCTTTGAAACTACAGATGATAAAGAGAACATTTTGAGAAATGGGCACACTCACAGATTGTGTGGTGACGGAAGACCCCCCCCCCCCAAACAAAACGTCCCTGGGGCTTTGGTCGTGTGACTTGCTCAGGTGTTAAAGAGGTGGAGGCAGCAATTTGTGCAAGACCACACAAGGCTAATTAATGGGCAGGTAGTGGAACCAAAGAGAGCTGTTTCTAGAGGGGATTCTGTAACCTGGTGCCCATCTAACAGCCAAGAAAAGTTTTGTTGATGGTATTAAGAAGACACAAACGAATATAACTTGAGAGACTCCATTGAAAAGTATGACAAGATTAAAACCATAGAAGTCATGGAAGATAGGCACAATGGGAATAAAAGAGGATTAGCTTTTGTAACTTTTGATGATCATGAGTCAGTTGATAAAATTGTTGTGCAGAAATACCATACTACTAATGGGCGTAATTGTGAAGTGAAAAAGGCCCTTTCCAAACAAGAAATGCAGTCTGCTGGGTCACCAAGAGGCCGCGGAGGTGGATCTGGCAACTTCATGGGTGGTGGAGGAAACTCTGGAGGTGGCGGAGGTAACTTCGGCCGTGGTGGCAACTTTGGTGGAAGAGGAGGCTGTGGTGGAGGTGGCAGCAGAGGTAGTTATGGAGGGGGTGATGGTGGGTATAATGGATTTGGAGGTGATGGTGGCAACTATGGTGGTGGTCCTGGCTGTAGTAGTAGAGGAGGCTATGCGGGTGGTGGAAGACCAGGATATGGAGACCAAGGTGCCGGAAATGGTGGCAGTGGTGGAGGATATGATGGTTCCAATGAAAGAGGAAATTTTGGTGGTAACTATGGTGGTGGTGGGAACCATCATTTTGGAAATCACAGTAGACAACAGCGATCAAATTATGGACCCATGAAGGGGGGGCGGTTTTGGTGGAAAAAGCTTGGACAGCCCCTAGGGTGGCGGTTATGGGTCTGGGGGTAGAAGTGGTGGATATGGTAGCAGAGAAGGGCTACAGTTCTTAGCAGGAGAGAGAGCAAGGAGTTGTCAGGAAAGCTGCAGGTTACTTTGAAACAGTTATCACAGGTGCATTAGAAGAACTGTAAAAATCTGCCAGAGAAGGCACTGTGATCCCTAGTCAGAAAAGTTACTGCAGCTTAAACAGGAAACCCTTCTTGTTCAGGGCTGACATGGCCACAGTTTGCAAAAAGTGCAGCTATGGATTAATGCAATGTAGTGTCAATTAGATGTACATTCCTGAGGGCTTTTATCTGTTGTAGGTTTTTCTTTTTATTACATTGGGTATATTGCCCTATAAATTGTGGTAGTGGAACCAAGAATAAAAAAATAAGGAATTTTTAATTTTTCATTCTTTGTCAGGTTCAGTTTTTCTACATTTTAAGTATATTTTATTGATTATCCTATAACAGTTTTCCCAAATTTTCCGCCTTTATTCTCCCTCTGCCCTGTACCCCTGAGCCCTCCAGCACCCCCCGCCTTAGTTCATTTCCATGTGTTGTACATATAAGCTCTTGACTTCTCTGTTTCCTGTACCATTTTTTGTCTCTCCCCATCTATTTTATGCCTACCAACTATGCTTCTTCTTCCCTGTACTTTCCTCTCCTATTCCCCGCTTCCCCCTCCCCACTGAACCCCTCCCCCCATGATGTCCATTTCTCTGATTCTTTTTCTGTTCTAGTTGTTTCCTTAGTTTTTGTTTTCATTATTTTTCTTTTCTTTTAGGTTCATTTGTTGATAGCTATGAGTTTGCCGTCATTTTATTGTCATAGTTTTGATATTCTTCTTTTTCTAAGATAAGTCCCTTTAACATTTCATATAATAATGGCTTGGTGATGATGAACTCCTTTAACTTGACCTTATCTGGGAAGAACTTTATCTGTCCTTCCATTCTGAATGATAGCTTTGCTGGATAGAGTAATCTTGGATGTAGGTCCCTGCCTTTCATGACTTCAAATACTTCTTTCTAGCCCCTTCATGCCTGCAAGATTTCCTTAAGAAATCAGCTGATAGCCTCATGGAAACTTTTTTGTAGGTAACTCTCTCCTTTCCTCTTGCTGCTTTTAAGATTCTCTCCTTATCTTAATCTTGGGTAACTTAATAATGATGTGCCCTGGTGCATTCCTTTTTGTGTCCAACTTCTTTGGGACTCTCTGGGCTTCCTGGACTTCCTAGAAATCTATTTCCTTCACCAGATTGGGGAAGTTTTCCTTCATTATTTCAGCTTTTCTACATTTTAGTATGAAACTTTAACAACATGCAGGCTTGGTATTTCCTTATGAGTTAACAAAAAGACCATTGTTAGTTGCTATTTTGTATGAATTTTGCTAAAGTTAGTTATAAAGAAACACCTGCTGACTGGCAGTTTAAGGGGAATCTGTTCTCCCCATGTCCAAACCGTGAAATGAATGGGCTTTGACATGTAGAAAGAACAGATATTTGTACGTTTGCATTGTGTGTTTTAGAGAAATAGAATTGGGTATTTAAATTAGCATATTTGTGACTTTAATAGCATTAAGATTTACCTTCAAATGAAAAAAATTCAAAATTTCTAAAAAAGTAAGGAAGGAAGGGAGAGAGAAAAGAAAAAAGAAAAGAGAAGGGAAGGGAAGTGAAGGGGAGAGGAGAGAAGGGAGAGGGCAGAGGAGAGGAGAGGAGAGGAGAGGAGAGGAGAGGAGAGGAGAGGAGAAGAGAAGAGAAGAGAAATGCTGGGCCAGAAACTGCACCCTGCAGAGAGTGTTTGGGAAACCTGTGGTATCATGGACTCATAGAGTTGTTTGTAAGCTCCACCTATGCCATCTGTGGCCAAAATGAATTACCAGATGAGTGAACCATTAAAGTATGAGGCCAGAGAATGGAGCTGGGCAGCAAAAGTGGGGTCTGTCTGGTCTTGGCTCAGCTTCAGCACCTGTGTGATCTTGAATGAATCAGTCTCTCTACATTTGATTTGCTTTGGTTTGATTTGGTTTTTATTTTTAGTAAGAGAGTTTGAAACTACCTATTACTAGATGATGCCTATTTGAGCTCCTATTATGTGCTATATACTCACCTAAACCCCCAGCATGTTACCTCAGCAATGCTCATGATGCCATGAGGGGTAGGTCCTGTCATAACAGCCATCACACAGCTGAAGAAACCCAGTACTGGGAAGATGAAGTCATTGAGCAGTGCTCAGTCAGCTTTGAAGAAATCCTTGCATGCCGTCCCCAAACCCAATCTTCAATTTTACTTCTATTGCTTTGATTTTTTAGAGCTGTGTAGATCACATTTTTAAAAATTATTTTAAATCAATGTGTGTGTGTGTGTGTGTGTGAGAGAGAGAGAGAGAGACAGACTCAGCATGCGCACAATCAAGCCTCATTTTATGTGTCCTATAATTTTGTATGCTGATTGCCTAAAACAAAGTCTACCTCTAGATCAACAAGCCTTCAGGGTCACATTTAAAAGACTTTTCCATATTTATTGTATACCTATAATAAATGCTGATAATTTTTTAAAAATTAATCCTCTAGAGAGGGGACCTTTTGGAAATTTTTTCTCACCATTTAGTTTGAGTTAACTCCATTCCTCCTTTAGTAATAAACATTTATTTCTTTTAAAGAAATTTGTCATTCTGATGCATAATGTTCATATATCCTCATAAGCTCAAATCAGAGAGTTCTGACTCGACCTAGAAATATGACATTCCCACTGATTGATGAGTAATATCTTGGTTATATTAAGGTGTGGGAACTCCATAACCCTCACATTCATAACAACTAGTGTTCACTCTCATTTTCTTTATTTCTCAACATTTGTGGATATATCCTGCACTCTGGCAGGTGAGGATGAAAGTAATGTTTCACATGTAAATGTGACCTCAATTCCAGCTTTGCTCTGTAGAAAGAGAAGATACGTGGAGTGCCCCTGAGCGGTAACCAAGGCAACAGCTGCCACCACAGAGGGCAAGGTCTCCCCTGGGCAGTACTGGGGCCATCAACCCTTTGCTTGCATTCCATAAAATAGGGTGTTGACATGTCTGTCCACAGGGGATGTGTACCAGGACTTCTCATTTCTTGCCTTCAGTTGAACCCCTCTCCTGCAGAACGCTGTACCCCAAAGACCCTTAACGAATGTACTATAAAAATAAATGACCCACTGTCAGGAGAATTTTAAAGTTCATTCTCACATTGGAAAGGATTTTCTTTTTCCCAAGGTGTTATATCTTACCCTCACTTTTGTTTGCTCCTACAAGAAATTAAAAAAAAAGGGAAGGGGGGCATAACAGTTGTCTTGGGAATACGTAAGAATTTGAGAACCTCTCAGAACTTGAGTGTTGAATCAAGCAGAGAATAATAAGCTTCCAGGAAGAAACTTTTTGAAGCACAAATGCTCTTACACCTAAGAAATTTGCCAAATTGCAAAAGAAAATTCAAAACCCCTAAAGATAAAGTCTATGCTACACACACACATTACTTACTCATTTACTTACATTAGATACAGTTTCCAAAATCATGAAAGTAATTGTTAACACATTTCTGATATCCTTGGGAACTGTACCAAACTTCACTAGTGCATTACTCAGCATTAACTGCCCCAAGTGCACAAGCCAAGGAGTGGATTCAATTTTTAAAAAAACAGTCCAGCCAGCTTCCTGCCACCACTTCCTGGGAAGCCACCAGAAAGAAATCAATGTGTCTGGGGTTGGGCTTCCACAGCACATAGACCAGATGGGTGTGTGTGTGTGTGTGTGTGTGTGTGTGTGTGTGTGTTTTAATAAAATTTCTGTTCATTGCTTAAGTATACGTTCCCCTTTTCCTTGTCATCTTTTACAATTTTTGGATCATCTCAGCAATACCCAGGTTTTGGTCCAAAACAACCAAGTAATACTGTTTTTAGATAAGAGTTGCTATGGTCTCATCTTCAAAAGTGGATATTAATCAACTACACACAATACTAAGGCGAGAGCACGTGATGATTCCTTATTAGTCAAACCCCTCGGTTCCCGGAGGGCAAGGACTAGCATCCAAACACTCCAAGACGGGCGTCATTTGCCTTTGAAGGTTAGGTCTACATGTGGTCAGGCTAGATGTTTGCTTTCATGGTGCTTTAGTATAAAAACATGCTAAAACCTTAAATTTTTCTTCTGCTGGCAGCCCAGTCCCTACACATACTTCTTGGGCAAAGGCCATGTTTTTTCACATTTCATTTCGGTGGGGCAGGGACGCAGCAGAAGCAGACCCACAAAGCCCCATCGCCCATCCCTGCCTCCTTTGCAAATTCTCTGTACCTCCGAAAGAGCTCTGAACCTCATGCTTTAGTCAACTCAGCATCCTGTTAAGTTTCTGTTTCTTGGAATCATTTCCCAGTGTTTCTAATTCTCCAAGAGCGAAGTGGTTCAGCTACAGGCACTTGACCTCCCTCAGAGGAATGCTGCCCCCTAGTGAATGAGTCTCTTGAGAGCACCTTCTAAAATGTACAGTTGAGAATAGGTACCTATTCCAAACAGAAGACAATAAGCCCAAAGGAAGTGGAATCCGTCTCATGAAGTTTTCTCTGCCTCCCCCTCCAGGATATGCTGTCCCTAACGCTGCCGCACCCGTGTCCGCAGCCCAGCTCAAGCAAGCAGTGACCCTCGGACAAGACTTAGCAGCATACGCAACATATGAGGTCTACCCCACTTTTGCAATGACTGCCCGAGGGGATGGATATGGAGCCTTCTGAAGATATCTTTTTTTATTTTAAAAGTAAGACACAAAACTCTATATAGAAAAAACAAACCTCTAACTCAGTCCCCTCGTGATCACACATAATACTTTTCCTCACGTGATGCCTTTGATGAGACTGTATGGCTTATACTAACTGTAGAATCATGACAAGAGAACATTGTTCCTAATTCAATCAACTGTTAAGGAGCCTTTTCTCTACAGAAAGGAGCCACTGACCTGAAAAGTTGTTCTTCCAAGGTTGCTGAGTGTCTTGGGAATGTATTTACAAACCCTGACAGAGTGGAGGGAGGTCTCTTAGCCAACACGAGTTCGAGGGCAGAGCAGACTTCAGCAGTCAGTAACAACAAAGAGCCAAGTAAGTTCCAGAGTGTTAACTCTGGCTTGCAGCTGCAGAGGAAGGTGAGAGGGTGCTTTTCAAACAGGTTCCCCATCACCATGGGGCAGGTTCACAGCCTGGAGCTTAGGAAAGACTGTCTGAGGTTTGATGAAGTCAGCATCACTGCAGTTGGAAAACTCCATCCAGTCAGTTTGTCACAGGTCAGGATCTCCTGTCCCCTGCAATCCCAGGGGACTTCCTGCAAATTGATGTGGTATCTTGCAGGCACGGTTAATGCAATCTAGGCCTATTGTTTATTCAACTCATTAGCCCACTTCTTTTTCCCTAGAAGTCCTTCCCTTCCCAAGGATCCCTACAAAACAATAATCATTCCAATTTGAAATGACATTTTCTCATATTAAGCATTTGACATGTCCATATAGATTTATTTTCATTTCAGTCTCACTTTGCTCCTCTCTAATATCTTTAAAAAGCAAATCACATGTACAGGCTATCCCCTATGATACTTCTGGGTATTCAGCAAATTAGCTGAAATGTCATTTGAAACAAAGAGAGAAGTGAAGATTTACTCTTGCATCTTTGGTCTTTTTGCAATACCCAGACTACCATCCAGCATTCAGAGAAAGTCATGTTAACTTGGTTCATCTTTGGACTATCTAACCTGCTTATATCAAACCTGCCAAGAAATCTTCTACCTTCCCTTCGTTTTACTTCCCATAAGTACCAGACAGCTTCAGCATACCTGAGTGCTTTGGCCTTGGAGCCCTCACAGGAAAACCTTACCACCGTTACTTTTGATTAGAAGCTGATTCTTCAGACACTCAGCAAGGACGTTATTTACCAAAAGCCCCTCAACTTGGGGTCCTCTTCTCCAGGAACACCTGACAGGGGTAAGGGTGCTACAGAACTTGGAATGGAGGGGAGTAAAAGGCACTATACTTGCTTGCCATACTTGCACATGATTGCTTTTTGTTCAAAACAGAAATAATCAAATTCTGACAACCAAATACCTGTTACTACTGCACAAGTCTCATTAGCGGTTTAAGACACAGCATTACCACAATTTCCCTTTTTAAAAAATCCCTTTGCCCTTGTGAAAGTCTACAGGACTGAAGGGAAAACTTAAGTACAAAGGCATTAAAAGTGTGAAAACTCTTCAGTGTAATGCTGTGAACCAAAATCAAGCCAGATTCCAATCAACATCAGACAGATTCCAATAACAAAACCCCCATCACCTTTCAGTTTCACTAACTCAAATCAGACATGAAAGGCCTCAGTGCTGGAGCTGAAACTCCGACCGGCCTTGTGCTTTCAGTTTTGTGTTTTCCTTCTCAGATTCCCTGGGACAGTGTTTCCCAAACCTGACTGCACATTAGAAACACCTGGAGATCTTTCCTTCCCAAGATCACGCCTTACACCAATTACATCGGAATGTTCGTATTCTGGGTGTCAGTATTTTTTAAAGACCCTTAGCTGATTCCAACGTGCAGCTAAATTTGGGAAATGCTATATTCTTTGTATTTTCACTCTATCATTAATTTTTCCTTTCTATTTGACTTTTTTAAAATAGAAGAATGCAAAAAAATATTTGTCTAAGTTAAAACAAATAGCCAAATCACATTTTTACATACATTCATCTTATTGAAATATCAATTTGAATATAATTCACATTGGCTTCAAACTAATTCTAAAAATGAGAAAGTGAGAAATTCCTCCTTAAGCAATTCATAGGTCCAAATTTACACTTCCCCACAGACCAGCTTTCATACTCAGCAAGAATGATTACACTGGGGAGCCCATAAATTCCTACTCAGTCCCCCAAACATTCCAAATTCCAAGAGTAAAAGTTTTAATGCTCTTTAAAGTCTTTAAAAGTAAATGGAAAAGGCAGTCTCTATGTCTAACCAATGCAGAATGGAAGGTTTCATCCCGATGAAGTTTCAATTTAATCAAATGAACAATTAGTAAATATCAGAATCTCTTTATGCTGAAAATCATTATTCCAGACTAAATCATAATCACCTTTTGAAAGCATTAAGAGCAAAGACTTAAGCTTACCATCATGCAAAGGGATCGAGAAAATCACCACTGGAACCCCATCTCGTTACTTGCTCGAGGGGAAACACAAGCATTCACTACATTTACATCCTGAGGAATGATTTCATTCAAGTGAGTAGATGTGGTTTTACTTTTTGCTGAAATGTGACTTCATTCCAGTAAAATTTAGAGAATACTTGGAAATCTACAAGAACACATTCAGAGAATGTGTCTAGCGTGTCACATGTTTGCATCACGTTGCCCAAGGTAATCGTTGTAGAATGAGTCCTGCTGTAATGGGTTTGAAACGTTAACAAACAGGATTTGAAAAGCAAGCGCAGAACCAAAGTTTACCTTGCATGATGGCCATATATTTTGGACTTCAGAAATTAGCACCAATGTGGTACCTATCGTACTTTGTGTAATGGATCACTATCCATTTTTTAGTTTTTCTTAGTTTATTGCTTCCTAGAAAAAATTCACCACAGAAAAAAGTTAAAATGGGTCAACGAACCAAGCAATAATAACAAAATATTTAGCCAACCATTTAGAAACAGCTAGTAAATTAGAACAAGGTTTCTAAATTTTGGTACTTAACAGCTCACTGAGGATTAAAATCAACAAATATCACTGAGGAGGAAATGGAACAGCAGTGAGAGTAGATATCGGTTTTCTCACCTGTAAAAATGCTGCCCCTTCCCAAGTTGCTGTACTTCTCCACCACCCCATTAGTATAGCAGAAGACTACCTTTAACTGCAGCAAGTTGCAGTTCTCCTGGGTACTAGTGTTGCCCTCCCACCCCTGCCCACAGTGACAGCACCTAAAATGCTGCTAGAAAGCTACCTCATGTTAAGATAATGTGGAATTCAAAAATATTTAACAACAGAGGACTTATTTCCAAATCACAGTTCCTTCGCTTTCTGATAATGGATGGAGATTAACTGTAGTTATGTATTGATGATTGCTGTATAGGAAAGTAGTTTTAGTTTGCCTTAAGTGCTTTTTTGTTAAATACATTCTTTCAATTACATAGATTAGCTTTTTACAAATATTGTTTCAATATAATTTTCAATTTATGTTCATTTTCCCTTTATTTTTAAAGGACTATTTTCTAGTTCTGTCTTGGACAACTGGGTCATGATTTAAATCCATGGGGACAGGGAAATTCTTCAGGGCAACTTTTGCAGAATAAGGGTCAATAAGGAAAGTTAGTATTTTGAATAGTATTTACATTCAAAGCTACAAAGATGGATAAAATTTATTACTGTTGTACAACTCCAGTCCTATCCAAGATTTTCCAACAGTAACTTATAACTAAAAGTGAAAATATGTCTTAGTATTCACATAAGGTCATGGTCATTTGTCCCCTCCTTGGACTCATATAAAAGTTCCCAGCAGGTGAAAATGTACCTACAACTTAAACCAGAGACTTGGTAATTTTTATACTTTGTAGATACATTTGTTAAAGACAAAACTAAGTTTTGAATACAATACCATGAGTGATCTTTGCGTTAAATACTTTTAAAAAAATATTACAACAGGTGAAAAAATGGAGACAACTATAACTGAATAAAAAAAGAAAATATTAAGAGCATAATTTAAGAATTTTAACATATGTATTGGAAGACAGAGACAATAGACCACAAACTTTGTTACCTGACATGCAACAGTTAACTCTTGGGCTTTATTAAACTGATTGTCAAATTTGCTGTTGAAATTTTACTCTACACTAGTGACATCTTGAAAATGCTCTGAGTTTTATGGAATGTATCCATAGAAAATACTATGTATCCACCAGGTTATAACTTTGTATTTACCAGTGTCAGAACAAAGCACAGCAAGTCCTACTATAATATTAGGAAAATGATATTTTTTCTGAACCCATAGCCTATCTGTTTACTTATGGAGTAAAACATTTTTATATGTATTATTCAATAAAAAATAGGTGTAAAATATTCTACCACTCTCAAAGTGTCCCACTTTTTATTGTATTTTTCCATTACCATTTAGTCCCTTTATTCCCCCCTCCACAATCACCACACTGTTGTCCTTGTCCATGAGTCCTTTTTCCTTTTTTGCTTAATCCCTCCACCCTCTAACTCTCCCTACCCATCTTAGCTGTCTTTACAGTCAATTAATATTTGACAGAGGAAGCAAGCACATATAATGGGCTAAATATAGTTTATTCAATAAATGGTGTTAGGAAAATTAGACAGATACACGCAGAAAAATGAAACTAGACCACCTTCTTACACCACACACGAGAATAAATTCAAAATGGATTAAAGACAAGTCTTAGACCCAAAACCATAAAAATCCTAGAAGAAAACATAGGCAGCAAAATCTCAGACATTGCTCATAGAAATGTCCCACATTTTGAAGGGTAGCTTCTCCTTACAATATTTATATGGAATGTAGAATGCATAGGTTAAAGAGAGACAGCATAGATTCATTTATGAGAGACTGAACTTCACATATCCCCAGTTCTCAGTTTTGCATTAATTCAAAAGTGCCTAGAATAAAACATGAATGTTCTGCACCTACCTCTTCCTCACAAACTTTTCTCTTTCTTCCTTCATGTATATTACTTTCCCTGAGGGGAGGGGGAGATATCAAGAAATAGCACTTTAAAGAAAGTAAGCTGCCTACAGGAGCTTCTTAGAGACTGAAGGGTGTCAGCTCCCCTCGGGATTTAGCAATGTCACTCTGGTGTGACAATACATCTGGTGTCCCAGGACAGTGCTGGCTCACATCTTTGTCCCAGTTTATAAATATTTACAATAGCTCCCCTTACTCTCAAATATGTCCCAGTTTAGACAAGAAATTACACAGTGTCCCCTTCTTTATGGCCCTTCTTTTTTAAAAAATTGTTGTAGAATGGGCTTTATTCTCCCCAGAGCAGATATAGCTTCATCTCAAGGGCCCAACAACTTCTTTCTGGTCTGAGCAGGAGCATCTCAAATGGAAAGAAATGTTTCATCTTCTCCCCCATGGTTACCTTAATCCACTCCCCATGTAGCTGCTCCTCTACCCAGCCCTTTGCTGGTACAATCTTTCCTCCCACTGCCCCCCGGGCTGTGGGTCCTGAGTTCTGCCTTCAGGGACATAGCTAGCAGCCACTAAATCAGATTAGGCAGGGGACAAGATGAAAGACAGCTCTCAGGGAAATGTCCTTGGCCTGTCAAGATCCAAAGGGCATTAGTAAGTTCATACAGCATTTGCTGGTGACTTTCTTCCTTGAATGAAGCTACGTATACCACACACCAGAAACCCCTGCCTATGAAAACCTCCACCTTAGAAAGAAATATAAAAGACTATGCAAAAATAGAAAGAAGAAAAAAATGGAAAGATCCAGAGAAGCTTTCAAACATGGATTTGTCATATTCATAAACTAGTATGATGTTAATGAGTGGGTACCCATGCTTTTTATTTCCTTGAAAACATCGTGGTCATTAACTATCTCTGTTTCCTAACTACACTTGTGTTTATAAAATTCAAACACAATTTCTATTTCACAAGCCTTATCTATACCTATATGTTTGGTAATAAATGATTTGCAATGAAATATACATACTTTTTTCAAATGTTCATTTTATTTTGAAACTTGACCTTTGCTACTATAATTCTTAAAAGATCTTTGGGCTCACAGGTGACAGATGAGTCTATTTGAATCAGTCCATCATTATCAGTGCTTTAAATATTTATTGTAATTATTATGATTTTATTGCTCTTCCTTTATGAGTTCTGTTCTCCTTTTCTGACTGGATATAATATTTGGCTATATTATTATCCCCTACCTTTTCATGAAAAGCAAACTGTCAGCAAAATGCCTTTCTAGTTTCTAGGTGTTAGTTTACTGCTTGTTTTCCTTTTTGTTGTTATTGACTTTATTTATGTAAAGTTAGTTAGCTGAGCTACCAAAAGAGACAAAAACAGTATTAAAGAGTGTGCATAAAGCACTTATTTTTGTACTTTGAGTAAAATGTTTTATAGAACTCTGTGCTCCATCTAAATATACTAAGTAAAATTACAAGATTCATTCACTGGGAAAATCATAATTAGTTTGAAAGATATAAACATAATGGGTACTATGGAATCATAAATCCCATGAAATGGGAAATAATGTAATATTGTAATGGGCAGTATAATTCCAGGATGGCAAAATGATTTTAATTGAATTTTCAACTACCATTATAAAATTTTAAAAACTGACAACATGCATTGCTGACTTATTTTTTTCTTTCCTAAAAACCAAATTTGTACTCTTTTTGAATAAATACTACATATTAATGACCCATCATTGTGATGACCTTTTGGTAATTTCTTTACATTTGCATCTTTTATAAAAGTCCACTCTGGTATACCTTCTGAGAGTAAATGTAATGACAATTAGCTGCATTTTTTCCTAATCAATAAAGAAAACAAGAGGAATACTCAGAAACTCAAAATAATAAAAAATCATGACTCCAGAAAAGTAAGTGGGCTCTGAAATCAACATTTGCCCTGGAGCAGTAGCTGGGGTCATGGGCTGACCTTGATAGGCTAAGCAGAGGTCAACGAGCTATCCCTCGCACACCAAATTCAGCCAAATGTGTTCTGTTGGCCCTTGAGCTAAGAATGGTTGTTACAATCTTAAAGAACTGAGCTAAGATTATTTTACATTTTCAAAGTTGTTAAAAAAATAATAGGAAGAATTTGTGACAAAGACCATAGGTGTCCCAAAAGCCTAAACATGTGCCATCTGACTCTTTACAAAAAGTTTGCCAGCCCTGCACCAAGCCAACACCACATATTTTGACTTCTGTTACAGGTAGCACCCCACCTGTAAATGCCAAATTCTGCATTAGCTAGGATTAGGGTAGCTGCCAGTGACAATACCCAAAATAGCAGCAGTTTAAATAAGATAGTATTGTCAGTAAATGAGTGGATCAAAAACTGTGGTACATTTACACAATGGAATACTACGCAGCAGAGAGAAAGAAGGAACTTCCATGCTTCACAACAGCATGGATGGAACTGGAGAGCATTATGCTAAGTGAAATAAGCCAGGTAGTGAAAGACAAATACCATATGATCTCACCTATAAATGGAACTTAATGAACAAAACAAATAAGCAAGCAAACTATAACCAGAGACTGAAATTAAGAACAAACTGACAGTGACCAGAGGGGAAGGGGGAGGGGGATAATGCGGGAAAGAAGGGGAAGGGTCAAGGAACATGTATAAAGGACCCAGGGACAAAGACAACTCAGGGTCGGGGGAGGACTGATTATGGGAGGTAGGGGATGGGTAGGGCAGGGAAGAGTAATGGGGGGGCATGGGGACAACTGTAATTGAACAACAATAAAAAATAAAACAAGATAGCATTGTATTGTCCCTTGCCCAAAAGTCCAAAAAGCAGAACAGTGCCAATTCTGTGCTTCACAGTGTTGTGAGCAGGTCTTTCTTCTTGTCACTCTACTTGCATCATCTCAATCACAAAGTAAGAAGATGGCATTTACATTCTGAAAAGAAGGATAGAAGAAGGACAATGAAGAGAAGCAGCCAACTAGCTTTCCATTAAGGAGAGTTCTTGGAAGCTGCCTTACAACACTATGCTGTATATTCCATTGGTCAGAACTTAGGTACATGGCCATACCTAGATGCAAGAGAGAATGGAAAATGTAGTCTTTATGTGAGCAACCATAAAAAAAGTATTTTACTATGAGAATATGGAAGAATGACTATTGGGGGAAACTAGCAGACTCTGGCACAAATGCCTACATCACAGGAAAAATGTGAGGGTCCAATGAAGTAAGGCATGTGAGCTCACCCGGCACTGGGCTTCACCCATGCTCCATGCCTACAAATCTTGGCTTCACTTTACCAACTGAAAGGAAACTCTCAATTTACCTTATTCTTGAAGTACTGTCACCCAGTGAAAGCACAAGGATGGTAAAGATCTGCTCCACTGATCCCACCTCCTGGTATTCATACCATTATATTGTTTAATCCCCTCCCCTTGAGTGCAGGCTGGACCTAGTGGCTCACTTGTAATGAATAAAGTATGGGATATCACATCTGAGATTAAGTTATAAGAGGTTATTATTCCCATTGTCTTGGGTCTTCTTGCTTGCTCACTCTGATGAAGCCAGCTGCCAGCTGTGAGCTGTGCTATGGAAAGGGCCATATGGCAAGGAACTGAAGGCAGCTGCCAGCCAATGGCACGTGAGAACCAGAGTCCTGCCAACAACTGCGTGATTGGGCTTGGAGGCAGAATCCTCCTTAACAGAGCCTTGCCAGAGCTGCAGCCTGGACTAGCACATGATTGCAGATTACGGGAGATTCCAAAGCAGAAAACCCAGTGAAATTTTGCCTGGATGTTTGCCCCACTGAAACTGTGACATAAGAAGTATTATTTTCATGTGCTATGTTTCAGGATAATTTGTCATGAAACAATTGATAACTAATAGAACAGTGAAAAGTCATATAGTTACAGTAAATGCAAATATGTTTATCATCTCAGAGGTACTGAAGCTGATACAAAATCAGAAAAACCAAGTTCAACTTTTGAGTTCATAAATAACTTGCTGTTGTCAGTATGCAAGATCACATGCCCAATGCTAAGGAGGATAAAAACTAAGGAAGTTGGATATCCTCATGGAAATTGTTCAAAAATGCTGATTAGGTGGAAAGAAAGGAACAGAGGGATGGATGAAGGGAAAGAGTGAAGGATGAAGGGGAGCAAAATGAGAGTGAAGAAGGGTGGAGTAAAAGAGGAAAGATAAGGGGAGGGAACAGAAGGGAAGATATGAACAGAACTTCTATTTTCAATGTATTTTCCCCCTTTTTAAGCAGGTCCATCTCTCTATGATTGCTTCAGTAAAGGTACTTGGCCAGACATCAAAAAGAGGTTTCATGCCAGCCTTTCTGTCTGTGGTTTTCCAAAAACTTTAGCAATTTAAAGAATTTAAGG